GCGCCGGGCCGCGGGGCTGGGGGTGGGAGGGAGGCCCGCCGCGCGCCCCCCCTCCTGCAGGTTCCCATCTCTCTGCACGCGGGGCCCCGAGCCCCGGGCCCCTTCGTGTCCAGGTTCTGACACCCGTCCCCTCTCCTACCGGGGCTACATCACGCTGATAGGTCTCGTTTATTGAGCACCTATCGCGTACCAGATTTGCTAGGCTCCAAGCTCGCCTAAAATGCGGGAAGCCCGACCCAGCGTGTCCCTCCTTTCCCAGGCCACCATCCAGCCTGTCCCTTCCCCGCCACGCTGCCCGGCGCACACTCCTCACCAGCCCCGGGCCCCGTTCTGCTAGACGGGTCTGATGCACCCTAGGAAACAACCTGACAAAGCACCTTCGCCCCCGAAGGTCCACCTTTCTTTACACGTGTTAGAAATTCGCATTCCTTTAGATGGTCTGTCTTACGTAATTTTCATTAAAATAACAGCAGTTCTTAGTCGCTAGTCAGCATCTACTTAAAATTTTTCCAATTTAGGGGGAATGATAAAGCATCTGGGGATTGTGAGGAAGGTGAACTGGAGAGGTTCTGGGGACCCCAGGAAGGACTCTGCATGACGACTAAGCGCTCTTTGCTGGACTATTCGGGCAAATCACTCAATTTTGTAATCTGTATGTCCTCATCTGTTAGAATGAGCTATCAACCGTGCCTTCCTCACAGGGATTAGGTGCACACTGTGCTAGTCTTTGAAAAGTGCTTAGCACAGAGCCTGGGACATGGTAAGTGCCTGGTGAATGAGACCCAGCCTCAAGACAGAGGAGCTCGGAGGATGAGCGGAAGGGGGCTTTCGGTGCACACCCGGTGTGGCTGGATCACACTTCCTTCCCTGTGCAGGGAGGGGTGGCCCGCGCCCAAGGCCACAGTGAGGTTCTGCTTTGCAGGGACCCGCAGGAGGGTGCGCACAGGGTTGGGGAGAGGTGGCAGGGGCAGAGTGACATCTGTGGATGGTGAGGATGGCTGTCCCCCTGAGTTCCCTTGCTGTCCTTGCCTGGGCTTCTGGAGAGCCCCCAATTTCAGCAGCATTCCTGCAGCAGGAATGAGATCCAGTCTTAGAAGCAGTCTCTCCCTCCTCTTCCAAGTTCACCCCCAGCTTCAACATTTGTCCCTTAGCAATGCCTGAACAGATGCCTGTCCCTCAACTCACATTCCAGGTGTCTGGGGTGGGGGGTGGGGTGGGGGAGAAAAGGCAATTCCCAGAAAGTAAGTGCCCCCCAAATCGGGATAGCCCTCCTACCATCTGTGTGTGTGAGCTCAGGCCCCCTTCTAGGTGCATCTATTTGCTCACATTTTACAAAGCAGTGGGCTATCTAGTTTGATCTCTACAACAGCCAAGCCTAGAATTTTTACCCTCTCTGACAAGTGCACAAGTGAAAGGTTGAGGCCAAATGGGACGCAGGCCGCAGAGCAGGAAGCCGCACATCCTTAGTCCAGGCTTTTCCTTCTCCCGGTGCTAAGGTCAGTGGGTGATGGTCCCCACAGGCCAGGAAGGTGGAGACAAGCCCCTGGCTGCTGGGCCAAAAAAGGAACTGCGGCAGAGTTCAGCCCCCTGCGCTCAGGATGCCCCAAGTGAGGAACTGCCCCCCTCCTGCATCGTCCCTGGGGAGAAGCCACCATCAGACCCCCCTGGAGAACCATCTGGGACAGATACCAGGAGAGGGGGCCAGCCATCTGGTTTGGGGACTCTCCACAAAGACACGCCTCTGGCCCCACCGGGACCCCAGCCTCCTGGGGAAGGCTGTTCCTTCCCAGTGAAAGAGGCAAAGCCAGGGAAGAGGTCCTACTCTCCAGCCTCCAGTAAGCAGAAAATACCCAGTGCCGCGGGTCTGGCCCCCACACCATCTCCTGGTGTCACCCACTCAGCCCGTGCCGCACACAACCCAGTGCCTTGTGGGTCAGGCCGGGGGCCCTGCCATCTGGCTAACCTCCTCAGCACATTGGCTCAGAACAGCCAAAACACAGATCAGAAGAGGTCCCTGGAAGTGACCTGCCAAGTTCGGAAAAAGACCCGGACCCTATACCGCTCAGGTAAGTCCTCGAAGTTGAGAGGAAATGTAAGAGAGCAGGGAAAGGAGGGCTCAACACAGAACATTGTAGCTCCAGGAGATTGCAATGTGGTTAGTTTGTACATCCCCTTGTCCTGATTCCTCTCTCTACCTGTGGCAGAGCCACGACCTCTGACCCTCAAAGGGAACATTGGGTTGCCTCATCAGAAAGTGAAATTGGGGGGAGCCTGGGTGTTTCAGTCATTAAGCATCTGGCTTAGGCTCAGGTCATGATCTCATAGTTGGTAAGGTCAAGCCACGCATCAGGTGAGCTTGAGCCCCGCTTTGGGTAAAACGTGAGCCCCGGGTGAGCCCTACTTCTCTTTCTCTCCCATTCACTGACTTGGGCCCTCTCCCTTTCTCAAAAAGGAAAAAAAAAAAGTGAAATTGGGAACAGATTAGTGAAAGTAAATACACAGTTCCCTGCCACAAATCCCAGGAGAGACAGAAGGCCCCAGCCCAATGGGGAACTTTGTTGCAAGCCTCTGGGAAGACCCTTGAGTTGGGGACAATGGTCCCATTTGGAAGGCATCTTTCTCCTGTTGTTTGTCCTCATGCAAGTTTCTTTTCTTCCAGACCAGCTGGAGGAGCTAGAAAGGATCTTCCAAGAAGACCACTACCCAGACAGTGATAAGCGCCGGGAGATTGCCCAGACTGTAGGGGTTACCCCCCAACGCATCATGGTAAAGGGGGCTGGCCAACTGGCATCAGGGTGGTGGAGAAACCATCAACTGGTACCCTTGAAGGAGTAGGGCAGATGCTCGACCTCACCCCATAGGGGCCAAGGTTAGGTCTCCGATCTGGCTGTGTTCTCGCCTGTTTCCACATTGCCACAGCCTCAGCTTAGAAGAGGAAGATACCTCGGCTATCTAGATGAATCTTTTCATAAAACCAACCTTGCAGAGAAAGGCCTCTGAAGCAGGGTGGTAAAGCGACCTCCTAAAGTCCCGTAGCTCATTGTGCGACAGTCAGAACCTGAGTCTGAGTCTCTGCTGTGCTCCTCGAACACTTCTAGGGTCTCTCCCCTATAGGTGTGGTTCCAGAATCGCAGGGCAAAGTGGCGGAAAGTGGAGAAGCTGAATGGCAAGGAGGACAAGGACAGCCCTGCAGACCCTGCCCCTACTGGGGCCAGCGGTCAGTGCAGGTACAGATCTCTCCTCTTCCCGGATCACCCAGGAGGTAGAGGTAGGAAGGGCGTAGAAGCTGGGCACCTGGGGTCTAGGAGATCGCATTGGAAAGCTGGCCATGAGGCCTGGAGCTGTTGGCCGATATTTAGAGAGACCTTGGATGGAGGAGGGTCAGGAAGTTGCCAGGGTCTTGTATGAAGGCAGTTTTTGGGAATCTGGTGTCCTGTGCCCTGCACTGAGCCCTGGTCTAAATGCAGAGACACTAGAGCTCCAGTCTTCGTTCTGTCTGCCTCCAGCTCTGCAACTGAGCTGCCAGCCGCTGTGCCCATGGACCCAGAGCCTGGTACCTTCCCTCAGGAACCCCCTCTGGATTCTCTTGTAGGTATGCTGAATACTCGCTGAGGGTAATGTGAGGGAAATGGCAGCTGGAAAGACGGCAAAGACCAAGTCCTTTCTGGCTAGACATGAGAGTGGGCCAAAGCTGTCCAGTGTTTTGGTCCAGTGGGGCCCACTCAAGGAGAACTAGGCATGGCACACCCCAAATCTGCCTCCTCCTTCTCCTACCCTTGTAACTCGTCTGCCCTTGATTCCTAGAGCCTCCCATGCTGCTGGCCTCTGAGCACACTCTGGCCCCAACCCAACAGAGTGAGAGTACTCAGAGGGTAGCAGTGACCCCACCGCTCTTCAGCCCTCCGCCAGTTCGAAGAGTCAACCTTCCTTTTCCCCTTGGCCCTGTCCCCACCCCCCAAATGATGCCTCTGCTGCTGGATACCCCAGGCAGTGACAGCGGCCACAAAGATGGCTCCTGGGGGACAAGGTATGGAACCTACTGGGGGTGGTCCTCCGAGTTATTGTGGGAGGGGTATAGAAGGAGAAAAGACAGAGCTTGGTTGGGGAAGGGTGAGCTGAGAGAAGCGAGGAATCACGCTTGTGATGAGGATTAAACGGAAAGTGGATTTAGAGTGGGAAAGATCTAGAATATCATAGCAACAGTGTAGGCATGAGGGCAAGAAGCCAAGAACAGGAAGAGAAAGGAGGAAGCGAGTCTGGGGTCATGGAGATGGGAAGGGACTCATCGACTGTGTGGTCACAACGAGGAGGCTCCCATGAGCCTCACCAGCCACTCCTTTGTCCCCCACAGTGTCACCCCACCATCCACCTGCTCATACTTGGAGGAGCTGGAGCCCCAGGATTACCAACAGAGCGCCCAGCCGGGACCGTTCCTATTCTCCCAGGCTCCACAGAGCCAGCTCTACCAACAGCCTCAGCCCCAGTTCTCCTACCTGCACCCCTTCCCCTTCCCCATGCCCCACCCCCTGCAGCCTCTGCTGCCGGATGACCCCCTCTTCACCTCGCCCTATGGCCCCAGTGCGGGGACATCACAGGGCTACTTCCCAGGGCCGCCGCCTCCGTCAGGGCAGACGGTGCTTCAGCCACCTGCTGGGAATGCAGGTGAGTCATGACCGAGGACAGTGACAAGGGGCAGACCACCTCACTTAGCCGAAGGGCTGGCCGAGGCAGCAAGTGGACCACTTTCCTTGCCCCTGGTCGTCTCTACGAAGTGCTTGTTAAGTTTCCCGAAAGGCTGCAGGGCAGAGCGAGAGCCTTGGAGCTGGGAGTTCTGAAGTCAGGCTCGGCCATTCCCAGCGTTGCCAACTCTCGGTTTGCCTGGCTCTCAAATGGGAATAATATCCCCATCCCGGGGAGGGATTGGCGGAGGATTAGCAACCGCATGAGGGACATCCTTGACAGCTGATCTGAGCATTCAGACGGGCCACTCGGATCTCTGAAATCTGGACGCAACCGTCGTCCTAAGACTAAATTCCAGTAGAAGGGGAAGAAAGAGTCTGTTCCCAGTCTCCCTGCTGCCTGCGTGAGGGGGCGCTCAGCCTGGCCCACGACCCACTCTGTGTCGATGTTCCCAGACCTCAGGACTTAGAGGCAGGAGCATGCCCGGCCTGAGGGCAGGAAGCTCCTGGTGCTAGGACTTCACCCACACTGGCACTGGGTTCCTAAGCTGGGTTTCTGTGGGAGGAGGAGGAGGAGGAGGAGGAGGGGGGTGGGGAGTCTGTCACAGAGAATGTCCAGCTGTGGGGGAAACGCTTAATCCTCTCTCACCTTTCCTGCACTCTTTGACCCCGCAGGTACAGTCCCCTGGAATGACCCTTGCTTTCCAGAACTGCCTTTCCCTGGTCCCTTCTGTCCGCAGGCCCTGGGGCAGCCCCCCGGAGGGGACGGCTACTTCCCTGATCTGCTCCCAGCCCCCTATGCTCCGGCCCTGAGCAGGCAGCCTTCCCCAGGTGTCACCCGGCTGCCCGAAGGGGCCAGGCCCGAAACGGGACCCTTCCTCGGCAGGGCCCCCGAGGAGCAGCCTGCCCCCTGTGTGGAGGGGCCCCCCGCAGCCGAGGAGCTCCGAGCGGAAGAGAAGGACAGCTGTGGCCCCTAAGTGTGGGGCCAAGCAGTGTGGAGGAGCAGGAGAGGCTTGGGGCCCCCTCCAGGAGACAGCGATGTCAGGACAGACTGCAGAGTCTCCTGACCCGGGGGAAATCGGACGTTTCCCCTCTGTGGGCTCACCTTGCTGGACCTGATTGGAGAAGGATGAGGGCCGGCCCGCCCTCTTGTCCACACCTCTGCGTGACCACCCTGAGAAAGGGATGGTCCCTATGATTTCTGAATGCTGTGTACGTTTCTGTTGTTTCCTTTCCTTGCCAGACAAACGCATGTCTGTTGTAAGTGGTAGACTAGTGCATCTTGGGCCTCTCTGCGCGGCTCCGTGTCTCCCCACTAAGAGCTGCATTTCTTTCACCACCATCCACTCAGCTGGCCGGTTGTGGGATGCAGTCCCAAGTGCCCCAAGTGAGGTCCCCATTGGGCATGACCCCATGGAACCTGACATCTTTCCTGGGCCCATCTCCTGCTGGAGGGGAAATCAGGCATCTTGGGCCTGTTTTTCACTCCTGACATTAACTCTTATTCCCAAACTCAGGACTGAACCTGAGCAAATTTGAGCACCAGCGTCTCTCTGGAATTTGGGCATTGTAGGGATAGGATTACAAGAGACACCCAAGGATATTTCAGGTCAAGGCTCCGTGTTGTGAACCAGAACTTATCTTTCTACAGCTCTTCTTTTGGGACAGGGAGTAGGAATGAGAGGTGGGAGCACCAAGAAGATATTCATATATATATATATATATTTAGCACCCCATATCTGCTGGCCCTACTGTGCCCAAGTAGGTAAGATTTGAGGGCCATTGATTCAAACTACATCAGTGCATTTGGGGAGTGTGTGTGTGGGTGCTATTTGGGACTTGCAAATGCTCTGATTATTGGAAAATACTTTGTTTTTCAAAAACTTACACGTATTTGTATCATAATAGTTATAGAGTCTTCACTGAAAAGTCAAAATATTTGGAAATGGAGAAACTTCTTGGTTACCCAAAAACGTGTGTGCACATCTCTGTTCGGGTTCCTAGACCAACGGTGTTGAGTAGCTCTGTTCTTCTAGCCGTCCTCTCTTCCTGCCACTCAAGGACTGCAACAACCAGGCATCAACAGCCTTAATTTAGAGATTAGAATATGTATACTGAGGAAAGGACTTGTGTTATGAGACATAGCTGGGTCTTTAAAAAAATTTTTTTTATAAAATTAAAAAATTTGTTTTGGAGAGAAAGCAAGCAGGGGAGGGGCAGAGGGAGAGTGGAATGAGAGAGAGGGGGACAGAGGATCGGAAGCAGGCTCTGAGCTGTCAGCACAGAGCCTGGCATGGGGCTCAAACTTGTGTGAGGTCATGATCGTGAGATCATGACCTGAGCCGAAGTCAGACACTTAACTGACTGAGCCACCCAGGCGCCCCTGTGTAAATTTATTTTTGATAGTTCCACTTAGTGTCTGACCCATCCTCATTTGGGAGGATGCTGGTCTTCTTACAATTAGCTCTAGCTTTTGTTTTGGTTTCGGCTGGATTGCAGGAGCAAAATCTGTGTGCCGGTGAGCCACGGCCAGGCCACTCGTCTCCTTAGATGGCAGGGCAAACCACATCCCAGCACCCCTCCTCCCTCTCCTCCCCCCACCACACCCTCATCTTCTTGCCATCACCCTGTCAGCACTAGGACCTCAGGGCTTTGCAGTGGGCCAGAGCAGAATCCTTCCAGGAAGACTCTGGAAAAGGACCGAGCCCTTCAATTTAAGTCTGCACTATCACAAATTGTCCACCAGATGGCAATCGACCACTAGTTTCATTACGTCTGAAACTATTCTGGTTGTTTATAGTCAGAAAGCCCAGGCTAATTCTTCCTTCAAAACATCCTAGAGCCATGAATACCAGGTTCAAAGATACTAAAGTCACTTGGGTTGCAGCTGGGTTTCTCAGATAAAATATAAGATGCCCAGTTAAATTTGAACTGCAAATAAACAACAAATGATTTTTTAGTTTAAGTATGCTTCCTGCACTATTTGGATGTTTGGTATTTTTATTTGCTAAATCTGGCAACCCTGGCTGGAGCCCTTTGCTAAGGACATCTGTGTCCGTGAGAGCTTCACAATTCAAAGACCGTCCAGGAAGATGCCTCCAGCTGTCTGCTCAGCTTTCTGGCAGTTCAGGCTCCAGAGCCATCGTGGGTTCACTATAGGAAACTGGTTCACTCAGCATCCCCTCCTGCCCACGAGGATAATCTTCCCTACAGGCTCCACACTTGTCTAAAAACACTCTGACATCTCTTGGAGTCCTATTATGTTTTTTCCTATTAGCCAAGTTTCTTATACATTTCTGAGATAGTCCACTATAATTTATTTTTGTGTATTTTAATATTACTTGCATAAAAGGAACACATAAAAACAGGCTGCAAAAGACAATTTTGCTTTGGGTGATTCCACTCCAAGTCTTAAATGTCCTTGATTAATTAAGAATCAGTCTGGGGGCACCGGGGTGGCTCGGTTGATTAAGCGTCTGACTTGGGCTCAGGTCATGATCTCATGGGTTGAGTTCAAGCTCTGTGTCAGGCTCTGCACTGACAGCTCTGAGCCTGGAGCCTGCTTTGGATTCTGTGTGTGTCTCTCTCTCTTTCTCGCTCTCAAAAATAAACATTAAACAAAAAAGAAGAGTGAGTTCCTAGAAATGAAACATCTTCACTCACCTGGAAGGGGTGTTGTTTTAGAATAGAGGGACAGTCTGGGAGATTTAGGGGTTCTTGTAATTTATTTTATATAGTTCTTTCAAAAATACCCTCTTCTCTTTCATAACAAAGTCCTGAGAAATATAGACAGAGAAATCCATTCCATCATCCAATGGGGAATTACAGGCACCCCAGTACCGGGTGAACACAAAGATAAATAAAAAGTCTTTCCAGCTTCAGATACAGCACTCTTGCTGGGGAGGGTGACAACAACAAGGACCATTACAATACAGGAGGGCCGTGTGGTGCAAGGCTGCCCGTGGACAAAGTGTGATGAAAATTCACAAGGGGAGAGCAGCCATGTCTGAGGGGGCTGAGAAAGTTTCAGAGTCCGAGGCATCACTCGTGAAGGAAGAGGAGAATTTGGGTAAGCAGAGAAGACAGGAAAGGGAATGTCAGGCAGAAGGTATAGTGAGTGTAAGGCCACTGAGACTGGAACGATGATCAGGGAGTTGAGAGTGGCTGGGGGTGGGTGTGTGTAGGAGTGGCCAGTAGAGGGCCTGTGGTAGAAAAGGAGGCTGGTGAGGAAGAGTGGGGAAAGTCCAAAGCTAAGATCTTTGAGCTATAATCTTTGGACGATTAGAGACATCAGCAGTTGCAACTCATGAACATGACTTGCCAAGAATTGTATTTTAGAAAGACAAATGGTGGGGCTGGGGGCTGGGTGGCTCAGTTAAGTGTCCAACTTCGTCTCAGGTCATGATCTCATGGTTCGTGAGTTCGAGCCCTGTGTTGGACTCTGTGCTGACAGCTCAGAGCCTAGAGCCTGTTTCAGATTCTGTGTCTCCCTCTCTCTCCGACCCTCCCCTATTCATGTTCTGTCTCTCTTTGTCTCAAAAATAAACATTAAAAAAAATGTAGAAAGACAAATGGAGAAGGAGATTAGAGGGCTCAGAAAGGAGATGCAGGGAAACCAGACAAGACTACCGAATCCGTCCGAGAGATGAGAGCTGAGAGTAGGTGGTGTAAAGTTAGAAGAGGGTCCGATCGGAGAGATATTGAAGAGCTGGAATAAATGTTGATGTGATGGATAATTTGTTCAAAGGAGTCAAAGAGGAAAGGAAGAGGAAAAAGACCTTGTAACTAAGAAATTCTGTCAACTGAGAAAGGACGTAATGGGCACGGAGCAAAGTTGGGGACAGGGAAACCGGTCTGTTGTGTATGTTGAGGCCGAATTACCTGTGGTTATCTGGGTGGATGTGTCTGGGGAGAAAACTATGGAATTAGGCTCTGTGAGAGAGACAAGAACTAAAGGGCCTGTAGCAACTACTGGCCTCTTCGGCATAGAAAATGCTAGTTGAGGTCAAGAGACCAGACAAAATTGCCCAGCGTGTAGCATGGATGAAAGTGGTCTTAGGGTGGACTCATGGAAACACCAATGAAGGACAGCAGAATGGGCCAGAAGAAAAGATGGCATTGAGGTAGATAAGGAATGGCCTAACAGTAGGGGTGAAACGATCTGGAAGAGGTGTTGAATGGGCAAAGATCAAAAGCCAAATTGGGTCAGTAGGTCTGGAGAGGAGGTTGAACAAAGAATTGTGCATGTTCTATATAATTACCCCAATTTAGAGAGGAAGGCACTGAGGTTTAAATGATTTTCTAAGAATACCTTAACCAAATCTAGAGAGAAGTCTTAAGTATTTATTTTCCACTTCACCAAATGCAGATAAGAGTCTTGCTTCCTGAATGCAATATTTCATTTAAAGAGCCTTAATAGGTAAAAGGCTATTCATGATAGATAACTTTGTGTGTTTACAAGATCACACGAGGAACTGAAAGAGCTTCCTTACTTTGCCCAGAATTGGTCCTTTGACAAAATATTAATGATGATGGTAACCATTTATTTAGCACTTATTGATTACCTAGCTAGCTCTCTAATAGGGAACCTCATTTCAAAACAATCCTGGAAGGTATTATTCATTTGACAGGTGACAATCAGAGACTTGGAGAGGTTTAAATATTTGCCCAAAGTTGCAAAAGAAATACATTTTGGACAGGATGTAAACCTATGTCAGGAGGCGCCAACTTCAAGAAGCAACGTATTTTGATCATTCTAGAGGGGGGAGAGAATACAGAAGGTCAGAAGGTGGGGTGAGCGTAATCAATGGGCGTAACCTAGATTAGATTTAGAATCAAATCTTTCTATAGATCCTAGGTCTGTGTTTAAATGACTTAAAGACTCAGCAGTGTTTAATTTGAAACAGAGACACTACTGTGAGAGGGGAGAGAAGAGGCAGCAGGGAAAGGGAACACCAAACCGCATCTTATCAAAGTG